ATAAATTATAAACATTTTGTTTATTTTTTTTACTCAATTTTTGGGGAGAATTGATGATCTGAATAATTACTAAAAAATTTACACGCATAAAAATTATTGTTAAATACATGATAATCTTTTTTTTTTGGCAAAATAGAATTTTGGAATTTTATTAAAATGACTATCAATAAATTTTAAAATATAACTTTTCACCCAATTTTTGGGGTTAATGAATATTATATAATTTATTTTTAAATATAATTTTGTTTTTTTTTTTATTTTTATATAAAAAAAATTCACACGATAAAATCATTATTAGAAATACATGATAATCTTTATTTGATCTAACTGATAAATGCTTATCAAACACTTGGCAAAATAGAATTTTAGAACAAAAGAATCATAGAATTTTAATTATTAATACGTTCTTTTTGAGATTATGTACGAACAAATTTAAATTTTTGATTTGGAATTTTAGAAAATATCAAAACTTTTTCCTTTGTACAAGAAAACAAAAATGTCGACCCACCAAAATAATAAACCCCAAGAAGTAGAATTTAGCATCTATAGAAATCGAGATGGTAATTTTTCAAACAATATAGAAGATGTTGATAATTATTTGAGATTTGGTATTTAAGTCTTTTCATTTATCATCACTATCTTTAAAAAATTCTTCAATGGAAAAAATACAAAATAAACAACAAAATATTACTGAAAATTTACTCATAATCGAACTTGCTGAAGAAATTTACATACAACAAAACAAAGTAGAAAATCTTATTCAAGAAAACAAAAAACTAAAAAAAAATATTAAAAAAATAGAACATTCTGAAGAAGAACAAGAAAATTCAAATAAAAATTCTGAACAAAAATCTCCAGAATTACCAAATAATTCGAATAATTTATCTGACTCTCAAAGGTTTGTTATTAAATAAAATGTTTTTTTTTCTTTCATTATAAATTTTAATTAAATTGTTTATATCTTTAGAACTATAACTCAGAGTCAAGTAAATTACGATTTAGAAATGAAAAATACTTTCAAACATCTCTTCTATTTTGCTTTGGTTCTTTGTGGAATTCTTTTACTAGTTACTTAGTGGAGTTGGAACTGGATGCGTTTCTATCAATATATTATAGAAACTGAAAATAAAAATATCGAAGATAAAAACAAATTAATTGATAGTTTTATAGAAAGTTTATTAAAATTAAAACGTAACAAAATGGATATATAATTTTTCTTCTTGTATTTATATTTTTTTTCTTGTAAATATTTATTTAAATAAAATTTTAATCTTTTTAACTAAAATAATAGTTATTCTTATTTTTGTTTGTCTATATGGTATAGCTATTCACTTAAACTATTAAGTAAATATTTATACCATATAGACAAACAAAAATATTTTTTATTAAAAAAATGCAAACATTAAAAAAAATATCAAACAATACATATTTTATATAAAATATAATATTTTATTATAAATTAAATATAAATCTTTATAAAATTCTACTTGGTCGATCTCCAATTACAAAATACTATTTCGCAATCAGAAATCGAACAAGAAAAACTTTATTATTTCATCCTATGCGAATCTAAAAAATTAATAATCCTATCTAAATTCTCATTGAAAACAATCTTTTTCATCTCCACCCCAACACTTTCTTTGAGTAACAAAATATTCATATTATGAACTATGTACGAATAATAGCAAGAAATACCAAATAAAATAAAAATAATTGAGAATAAAACAAAAAAAAATAAAGATATATATTTATATCTATTAATATTCATTTCTAATTTTTTCATTCTATTTTCGTAAAATTCAAAATGATGCGTTACTCTTTCACTCAAATAATTATTGTATTCTAATAATAAATTATATTAATAAAATTAATAAATATTTAAATAATTTATATTAATTTTTACCTTCTTCGATTTCTGATTGCGAAATAGTATTTTGCGATTCTGAAATATTTTATTGTATTTATTTTAATAATAAAAAAAAATAAAAACTCAAATAAAATAAATTGTAATTTTATACCTCTCCATCTAGAATTTGGTGTTTCCGCAACAGCT